CTCCATCTCAAAAAAAAAGAATAGGTTGGGAAAACAAAGTTAAAAAATTTTAAACATTTTCTTCGGTCTGCTAAGTTGGTAAAAATATAAGTTTATTCTGAAACCCTCATGCTTGTATGATCTTAAAGAGTTATTGAAGATGAAAGGCTTAGTATCCTAGATTCATAAATTATTCAATTACTTAAAAATATTATTATTGCTAGAACTCATTGTTATACAAAAAATATTTCCTGCTCCAAGTATTCATAATTTGTGTGAAATGGGGCTAAATGAATCTCTATACCAGCTGTTAGTCTCTTTCTGAAATAAGAATCAAGCTAATGAGAAAATGAAGTCCATGGTCTTCTGTATTTTTTTTTCTTTTCATATAGACTCCATTAAGACAGAATTGGAATACTTTGATGGTGTCACTTGTGATGTCTGGTGTAGAAACTTGGACTAAAGTGGCAATATCACTTGTGTCTTTATTAGACCCCTGCATTATCTTAATAGATCAAGTATCTGGTTGGTGGTTGGACTGTAAATTCTTTTTTTTTTTTTTTTTGAGATGGAGCCTTTCCTTTTTCCCTTTTTTTTTTTTTTTTGGTGGGTCTCGGCTCACTGCAACCTCTGCCTCCTGGGTTCAAGTGATTCTCCTTCCTCAGCCTCCCAAAGTAGTTGGGACTACAGGTGCCCGCCACCATGCCTGGCTAATTTTTGTATTTTTAGTAGAGACAGAGTTTTACCATGTTGGCCAGGATGGTCTCCATCTCTTGACCTTGTGATCTGCGACCTCAGTCTCTCAAAGTGCTGGGATTACAGGCGTGAGCCACTGTGCCCAGCCAGATTGTAAATTCTTTTTTTTTTTTTTTTGAGACGGAGTTTCGCTCTTGTTACCCAGGCTGGAGTGCAATGGCGCGATCTCGGCTCACCGCAACCTCCGCCTCCTGGGTTCAGGCAATTCTCCTGCCTCAACCTCCTGAGATTACAGGCATGCACCACCATGCCCAGCTAATTTTTTGTATTTTTAGTAGAGACAGGGTCTCACCATGTTGACCAGGATGGTCTCGATCTCTTGACCTCGTGATCCACCCGCCTTGGCCTCCCAAAGTGCTGGGATTACAGGCTTGAGCCACCGCGGCCGGCCATTGTAAATTCTTAAAGTATAGGGGCTTGACCTTAACTCATCTTCTAAACAGCTTTGATATGGGCCTGGCACATAGAGAACTCAACAAATGCTATCTGGATAAAAGAAATGATTAGCAAGGCTAGAAGCCCTGTTGCCCAACACCTGCATTTTTTTGCAGGCTGGTCTTCACTTCAAGGCCTTTTTATCCATCTGCTTGCTTCCAGAAAGTCCTGCTTCCCCATGCAGGCGGGTTTGTCCACAGGCTTGGCTCTCACACTACACTGCGCTTCGATTTACAATAAGCATTTGAAGAATGAGTGCCGTAGGCACAACAGCAATGGAGCATCATCTCTTTACAAGTGAGGGATGAAGGCATAAGATGCACTATACTGGCTAGGCTCAGAATGGAACCCCATGTCCACACTGGACTCCCAATTTCAAGAAGAAAACAAATGGAAATCATAAATGGAAGGGTGCAAAATAGTTAAAGAATTGGCTTATGTTGGATTAAATATTCTGTAAATTTTGGCCTCAGGAAAAATTATAGAAAGTATCTGAAACATAAAAGATAGACTAACATATGGACTGAGATGCAGTAACTCGATTAAGCTATGACTTTACACATTTATAACCTGAAACCACCATTACAACATATTTGTTCGAAAAAAAAAAAAAGTCAAAACTTGCTGACTTAGTTAACCCTTTATCTTTTTTTGCTGAGACTTAAAGTATGGTGCATGCATCCACCAAACCACCCTATGAAATGCAAATTAACCCAACCTCTGTATTTCAGCATTTCCTGAATCACTTACTACCACTGAAGATAGCTAAAATATTACTTTGATATTTTCCTTACTTGAAATTCCTAAAAAAGATTGTGAGAATGGCAAGTAAGGTAGTGACCTTACTTCAAAATCTGTAATTTTGAACTTACTGTTTATAGAGTGTAGTTTTCTGATCTTCCCCCCTCCTTCCAGGAGACTCAGGACACACATATATGCATATATATGTGTGTCTATTAGTATGTGTGTTACTATATCTCTTTTGCAAGCCAGATAATATATAACCTTTAAGAAATATAGCTAATCAAGGTTAAAAAGTAGAAAAGGTGTAAAAGACCCAAATGTCCATTAACTGATGAATGGATAAATAGAAAGTGGCAAATCTAAACAATGGAATATTATCTAGCCATAAAAAGAAATGAAGTACTGATAAATGCTTCAGCATATATAAATGCCTCAAAAACATTATGCTAAGTAAAAGAAGCCAACACAAAAGGCCACATATTGTATGATTCCATTTATGTGAAATGTCCATAACAGGCAAATCCATATAGGCTGAAAGTAGGCTGGTGGCTGCCTGGAGCTAGAGGGAGGGGGAATAGGGAGTGACTGCTAATGGGCACAGCACTGCTGTTGCTAGTGGTGATAATGTTCTGAAATTAGATAGTGGTGATGGTTGTACAATTTTGTGAATATACTAAAACTATTGAAATGTGCACTTTAAAAAGGTAAATTTTATAGTATGTGAGCTATATCTCAAATTTTTGAAAATTAAAAAATATGACTAATCGTGGTTGGGCGCAGTGGCTCATGCCTGCAATCCCAGCACTTTGGGAGGCTGAGACTGGTGGATCACCTGAGGTCGAGAGTTCGAGATAAGCCTGACCAACATGGAGAAGCCCTGTCTCTACTAAAAATACAAAAAATTAGCTTGGTGTGGTGGCACATGCCTGTAATCCCAGCTACTTGGGAGGCTGAGGCAGGAGAATCGCTTGAAGCTGGGAGATGGAGGTTGCAATGAACTGAGATTGCATCATTGCACTCCAGTCTGGGCAACAAGAGCAAAACTCTGTCTCAAAAAAAAAAAAAAAAAATACTAGTCACAAAATTGTGGTGAATTTTAAGTAAGTCACTGAATTTTAGGTGAGTCTCAGTCTTGTGACCTCTAAAATGAAGAGGTAGGGTCAGATGCTCTCTTTCATTCTAGCTTTAAATATTAGTAATTAATTCTACTTGGAATAGGACAGATTTTCATAGCTTAGGGATCTCTCACAATAAGAACTTTGCCTATTGTCTGAAATACAGAACTGCAAGTACAGATGCCTACATTCTATTCTTGATCAAGTACTGCCTGACTCCCATGAAGCAGGTCACTTAAGATGTCAAAACCTTTCCTAGCAAGCAGACTCAGATAAAAACAAAACAAAACAAACAGAAGAAGATGTAAAAACCCAAATATTAGGTTTGTTTTTATTTTATTAATTAAGTTTTTTTAGAGATGGGGGTCTCACTTTGTTACCTAGGCTGGGCTTGAGCTCCTGGGCTCAAATAATCCTCTTACTTCAGCCTCCTTAGTAGCTAAGACAACAAGTGTGTGCCACTGTGTCTGGCCTGTTTGTTTTTTTTTATAAGGGAGTAAACACTTCTTTTTACTTGGATATGCTTTATCCAAGTAAGTTGGATTTCCTTTATCAAGTTAGAAATCCAGCTCCTTGATAAAACCAGAGATACCATTAGGATAAAAAGCAGAAGCAGTGCAAACCAACAGAATTCAGTTGGCCAGCTCCTAACATCATACAATACGTTTTATCTAAAACACAAGTTTTCTCTCACGCAAAATGAGGGCAGTTTAGTCATTTCTACTCCATTTTTCCTGAGTTTCATGTTATTTCTGTCATATTTTTGTAATCTTTCTGATTTAGGCTATTCAAACTACTCAACTTCAACAATTGCTGTCAAACACTAAATCCCATGAGGATTTGTACCTATTCTAAATAAGCAATTGGTACAAGTCACCAAATAAAAATGTCAGACAACCCAAACTGCAGAACCAGGCTGATAGCCAACTCCATGGGACAAAGGACAGCTGCAGAGATGTGACACAAAAAAGTTTCAGGCTGTTTCAGCTAAAGAGTGAAAAGAAAATAAAACACAATTGAGATATAGAAGAACATCTAGTGGTTCAACCAAGTGCCAGCAGGCATCTACTTCAAATCACTGAATAAAACAAGAAATCCCCAAAGCCAAATGGAAGCATCACAATAAATAATATGAATAGACAAGGATATAAATTGGGGCCTGTGCAAAGAAAATTCTTGTAGTTTTCATTGACTCTTCCCTAGCCACTCCCCAACCTCTTCTACTCTCGGTCTTTGCCTTTTCTATAAATAGTAACTCCATTCTTCATCAATCTGTTAGGAAATCTTGTTGACTCTGCCTTTAAATATATAGAGATTTAGAATACTTCCCACCACCTCTACTACTAACAAGATACAATTTTCTCTTGCTTGAACTATTGCAATGACCTCCTAAATGGACCCCCCAATTTCCAACCTTGCCCCAAATACAATCTCTTCTCAAAAGCAAGTAGACGGATTCTTTCAAATGAGAAGGCCAATGATGTCACCTCTTTATACAAAACCCGCTAAAGATTTTCAGTTTCACTCAGGGTAAAAGCCAAAGCCTTTACAATGGCCTGCAAGGCCTGATAAGATCTGGTTTCCCATTTCCTCTCTGGCTTCAGGTCCCATTACTCACTGTGTTCCAGCCACACAGGACTATGTACACTTCTTCAAATTTGTGCCCCAGGACCTTTGCTCTTGCTGTTCCCTAGTTACTTGCCAGGCTCACTCATCCTGTTAAGAAGCCTGTTAAAATGTTACCTCACTGAAGCCTTCCCTGATTCTCACCCTCACTCCTCAGTAACTGCTTCATTTTTCTCAATAGCACTTATCACCCTCTAACCTTCCAACATACAGTCTGCTCATTTACTTTCTTTATAATCTATCTGCCCCCAGCAAAATATAAACTCCACGAGTCTTTTTACTTCCTATCATATCCCACCACCCAGGAGAGCAGATGCTCATTAAATGTGTGTTGTGTGAACTCACCAGTGTCCCCTGGGTCAGTGCTCTGAAGAAATGTACGGCAGCGCTCCTTGTGCTCCTCAAGGGAACTTCTCTGCTTGTAACTCCTTCCACAAAACTCACATTTGTAGGGTTTCTCCACTAGAAGGAGAACATAAGGGGCACTCAGTGACCCTCAGGTGTTCCATACAGGTCAGGTATTGGGGCTCTGTGACAACTGTTCATTAGAAATGAGACTGCTGAGTGAAGCCAGAGTATTTAAATACTTTTGAATCTGTATTTTCAATTTGGTAAGCTTAAATAAGGTCATGGTTTATGATTAATTATTATGTCAGAGTATTCTTCAAAAGGATTGCCTCCTATCACAAATGAAAGAATTTGGATTTAGTGATTACCACTTAGCATAGTGTTTTAGATCCAGGTCAAATCTTATTTCTTTAGGAAAAAGAAAATAGGGCCCTTTTATTCTTTAACGAGGTTAATGTAGTATAAGCAATGAAATAGGAAAGGATTCCTTATTTTGGACATCCATCTGGCTGTAAGTAAAGATTGCTATAGTTTGTGGGAGTTAGCCATTCAGCTAGAAACTGATGGCCTTTTCAGAACATTGACATATTTGAATAAATTTAGCTCGTCCTTGCCAAGTGGCTATAGCAAAGTCTAGGCTATGATAAAAACTGAGCTAATTAATTAAGGATTTTTTTGTTTTTGAGATGGGGTCTCACTCCATCACCCATGCTGGAGTGCAGTGGCACAATCACAGCTTGCTGTAGCCCCAACTTCACAGGCTCAGGTGATTCTCCCACCTTGGACTCCCAAAGTGAGAGGATTACAGGTGTGAGCCATCGCACCTGGCCGGGATATTTTTGAATAATAGAAATAAAAATACTCTGGGTGCAGTGGCTCACACTTGTAATCCCAGCACTTTGGGAAGCCAAGTAGGGCAGATCACCCGAGGTCAGGAGTTCGAGACCAGCCTGCCCAACGTGGCACAACCCTGTCTCTACTGAAAATACAAAAATTAGCTGGGAGTTGTGGTGGGCATCTATAATCCCAGCTACTAGGAAGGCTGAGGCAGGAGAATCACTTGAACCTAGGAGGCAGAGGTTGCAGTGAGCCGAGATCGTGCCACCGGACTCCAGCCTGGGTGACAGAGCAAGACTGTCTCAAAAATAAAAAAGAAATAAAAATGAATTGTAAAAATGACTTCATCTAAATGTCTAAAACGAAGGAAAAGTTTCACCCATACAATTCAGGCAACTGTATTCTGCCAACTTCCCAAATGCTTTATTGCTTGAAATATGTAAGTAATAACTTCAACTATCTGTTCAAGGCTGGTCTTTCTGATTGTTGATAAAATATACTCAATGCATTTGTCAGTTTTATGGGCTAAAATTTTTATTTTTGAATCCCTCTTGTTCTGTTTAAAACAGAGGCTTTGGGATTTAAAGCACTAAAAGATCCTTATGGAATCCTAAATTAAAACAAATGCAGGTTTGCTAGGGCTAAAAATGTTAAGTTTCTGCATAAATTGGGTCCTCTAGAATCTGTCTTTAAAATGCCTGCTATTGTTTCTTACTTGAAAAAGGCAACAGTAGAGAACTATTCTAATTTTTTCGAACCAAACTCATCCTTAATTCATTACTTTGAAAAATGAGCTGTAAAAGAGAGAAACCCTTCATTTGCCAATTATGATCTCTCATGGTGGGTTCTGTTGGGGTTGATTTGCTTAATCCTAGTGGCTGAATTATAACAAGTTTCAGGTTTGGGGCTAGGTTTTAGTCAAAGCAGTACACGTGAACTGACATAAAAACAAACCTTTTTTTCCAATTAAAATTTTGCCAGATAACATCAAGAACATGAGGTCCCAAATTTGAAAATAAACTCAGTCTTATTTTTCTAGGAAGGAAATTCTTAATCTTGAAAAAAGAAAGTATTATCTTGGTCAAAATAAAGAGTAAAAACATCAAGACAGCACATAGCTTTTTATGAATCCTTACTGCTGTTCATCTTTTAGAGATTTAAAATAAGTAGGTTGGCTAGGCATGGCAGCTCATGCCTGTAGTCCCAGCACTTTGGGAGGTCAAAGTGGGAGGATTGTGCGAGCTCAGGAGTTTGAGACCAGCCTGAGCAACATAATGAGACCTCATGTCTATTTAAAAAAAAAAAAAAACAAAAGTGGGCTGATCAAGAGGAAAGTTGGATTTAAGAAATTTATCCCTAATGGCCAAAAAGTAGCCCCCAAACAATGATTTATGTATAGATTAGTTTTTCATAATTTACAAAATTGTACATCATTTGCTTGTCTAGTCTTTTGAATGGAAAGAGAGAGAGTGTGTGTGTGTGTGTGTGTGTGTGTGTTAGGAAAATAATCTTTTAATAAAGTTTACCAGAAGAAAATACTGATGGCTATAATTTTCTCACAAAAATTAAAAAGACATTTTTATAGGGTGGGCTCTTCCTATCTGACTGTGGTGTTCTCTAGGGATGCATGGATGGTGAGGAGATGATCATCTCCACTGAGGCAGATGGAGAACAATTAATGCCTTAATGGTAGTGTAATTAGCCCTAGAGGTCTCTGCTGTTGTAACCCTTCAGAACAAGAATGACAGATTGAAACCTTCATACTTAACTCTTTCTAGTTTCCACATGGGCTCTGAGGAATGCAGTTACTAGACATGGAATGCTCATTTCTCTCACTTACCAGAATGTGTCCTAAGATGCCCAGTGAGCGCATCTCTTCTTTGGCATGCATAGTTGCAGAGGTGACACTTAAAAGGTTTTTCCCCTGTGTGCAGTTTAATGTGGCGGAGGAGGTTACCTTTCTGAGTAAAAGATGCCCCACACTGATTACATTGGAATGGGCGTTCACCTTTAAAAAGGACAAAAAAGGAGATTTCTGATCACAGGCAAGTGGAGAAGGATATGCACAGATTAGATGCCTAGGGCAAAAGCTCATCTTTTAAACAGTTACTGTTCACATTGGGATCAGTTGGGAGCTGCATTTCAAGGCAAGCATAAGACTTACTTATGAAATCTCCTCTCTAGAAGAGAAAACGCACCTACCTAGCAAGGCTATTTTAGGTATCATATTGAATCAGAGCAAAGAAACAAGAGTAGCTCTAGAAGTGCTTTCTAGATGTAAGTTTTTTCTTTTTTTTCCCCCGCCCCGAGATGGAGTCTTGCTCTGTCGCCCAGTCTGGGGTGCAGTGGCACGATCTTGGCTCACTGCAACCTCTGCCTCCCATATTCAAGCGATTCTCCTGCCTTAGCCTCCCAAGTAGCTAGGATTACAGGTATGCACCACCGTGCCCAGCTGATTTTGTATTCTTAGTAGAGATGGGGTTTCACCATGTTGGCCAGGATAGTCTCAAACTCTTGACCTCATGGTCCACCTGCCTCGGTCTCCCAGAGTGCTGGGATTACAGGTCTGAGCCATGGTGCCTGGCCCTAGATGTAAGTTTTTATATTACTTGGTACTCCTTTTTTTTTTTTTTTTTTTGAGACAGGGTCTTCTTGCTCAGGCTAGAGTGCAGTGGTGAAGAGGCTCACTGAAGCCTCAACCTCCTGGGTTCGGGTGAGCCTCTCACCACAGCCTCTAGGATAGCTGAGACTACTAGTGTTTGCCATCATGCCTAGTTAATTTTTTAGTATTCCTTTTGAATATAATCTCCTTTGAAAAAAGAGTCACAAACTAAAGTCCTAACAAGGTGCTGACGGCTAGAAATTCTCCTTTTTGAAGTCTTCATATGAGATGTGGGATGGAATCTACTGGCTCAGGTATGATGCTTGCATTTGTCTGCATTTCTATAGACCGCCTGTTTATTGTCTGAAGATAAATTCTTTTAAACTGGAAATAAAAACTATATCCTTTCATTTACCAAATTGGAACCCAATACGATATGAAGATCTGCTCTTATTAAAAATGTTATGCAAAAATATGTGAAAGATGGCTAAGAAGCAAATCACACAATTCAACTCCTACTTAGAAACTGAAGAAAAAGTTTTTGGCTGACCTAGAACACTGTGCTCTCTACAGTCTTTTTTTATCATAGCATTTGCAATATGTTTGCCAAATGCATGGCAAGGCAGGAATAAAAAGCACCGAGTTAATGGCAATGCAGAAAGAGATACATCAGCATTATAGAAAAATCAATGAAAGTAACCAAAAGTTCCAAATTCCACCACTTCATTTCCACAGCCTAATAATGGCTGCATTAGGACAGTTTTCGGAAGAATGCAAAAAGCAGACTATTTACCAGTATGGCTTCGCTTATGAACCATTAAGACATTGAAGCTGATGCAGGATAATCCACATACATCGCAGTTCATCTTTCCACTGGTTGGCCTGCTACTATCGAATGAGACAACATGTCTCTCCAACTTAATGTTTTCATATTCATTATATTCTCTTGAATAGCTATAAGGGATTTCAGGCTCTTCTGCATTTCCCGTGGGCTCTGGCTTTAAAACATTCTCATCTCTTTCACTGTATTCATCTTTCACTTTCATTGAATCATCTGCAGGGAAAAAAAATGCAAGAAATGAACAATGACTATACTTGAAGCTATCAAAGCAGCTCATATAGCAGAGACCCACAACTGACAAATACCAAATGAAGCTAACAAAACTCTGTACATCTACAAAACAAGAAAGCACCATTAGCATGAGCACACATTATTTAAATTCAGAACCACAGTCAGAGGAAAACACACATACTTACACACATAAAAACAGATGATAGTGTTTTATGCTATCCAGAAAAATACAGATAATAGATTTTAGCTAAGTCTGCTCAAAGTGGCCATGAAACAAACATTGAGCAACTCTTCTCCAGTACTAGGGGAGAGGACGGGTTTTCAGATCTAGTACTTTTTTTGGTGGCTGCAGTTAAAAAGGCAAAGTGATGTAATTTTAAGTTTCAAGGAGAAAATATTGTTTGAATCCTTCAAATGCATCCAGTGTAAGCCATCAAGATTAAGAGTTGAATAGTTAGTGTAGGTTTTCTAATTTTAAGCCATGCTTTGCCTCTTCCTCTTCCACGTATATGAATTGCTGAAACACATCTTATCTCTCTCTTGGAGCTGATAAAGGCACAACATTGAATGTAGAGGAAGTTGTCAGTACTAATGAAATAGTGTTGACAAAGACAAAAGGAAAAGTAATTCTTTCATATAACCTAAGGAATCACTTTCATTGACACAGGTAAATGGGGCTCAGTCTAAATAAGGGGAAGGACCCTTAGGTCCCAAGTTAGGGAGGACTAAAGGACGCAAGGATTGTATAATAGGACTGGATAGGAGAGGAGGGACTGGCTCAAGTGAGTTGGCTTACCAATTACTATCTTAAGAGCTGTAATGTAAATAAATGAAATTTAAAAGAAGAGCTGTAATACTCTTAATGAAGAGCATAAGAACATATGAAGAACACAGAAAAAATAAGAACATAAGAAACAAAGAAGACAAATTTATGTACTTGCACTGAGACTAACAAAACCTAAAAATTTGCCTGATGTAAGAATAATAAACATTTGTAATGGATTTTTCATGTATAAAATATGCTATATAAATGCTTACTTTTTCGAACATTGGTCCTTGGAAATTGAAAGTTGTACTCCCCATGAGGAATCACACATCAATGGAGTGTAGGGCTAGAAGGGAATTTAAGATCATCTAATCCAACCCCCTTGTTTCTCAGATGAGGAAATCTGGGTGCTGAGGAAATCTGAGACGTTTTCAGTCATTTGTCCAAGGTTACATATCTAGTTACTAGCAGAGGTGTGATTAGAACGCAAAACTTATCCTTGAACTATCAATTACTTGGATTTGACCTCACACACTAGATATATAAGGCCTAAGTGGGTTCTTACCAACTATATTACACGCCCTCCCATCAATGGAGTAAATGTTAAAACCCAAAACACTCTGAAAAAAGATATTTTAAAAAACTACATCCCTTCCAAAAAACATCAGTAAGTGTTGCTCCTCTTGCCACATAGGAGGAAGTACAGCTGCAGCTGTGCCTAGCTTGCTACCTTCAACCCAAGTTTCAATTTTCACTTCTATCAAGGTTACCTTTCATCTATATTAACTGTGTTTGCTTAATAGAGCAAGACAGGGCCTAACCACCATCAGAGGAGCCAGTGCTGCCACAGTGTTCCACTGCTTCCTACCACAGTTCATGGTTCACAACTTTTCACTCTTTGACTAGCAAAGATGCACGGCTGTAGGATAAGTCCAGCATGTTTCAAATTTGCCCACCCCGTGGATCTTGGTTATATAAGAAATGATATCTGCTTCCTACTTGGAAAGAGGTTCACTTCCTTCTTTCTCTGGATAGGCCTTCCCTGATTTCAAACGGAATTTGTTTGCTTAAGTGGGTTTTTTTTTTTTTTTTTTTTTTAGAGAAGGATGCACCTGAGGCTTGTACCCGCCTCCCTTCCTCCATCACTCCAGCTGTGGGTAATATCCCACCAAAGCTTGAGTGCTCTTCAGTTTGCATGTAGGCGTTTAAAAGAACCTCAACGGAAAATTTCAGCTACTGAAAACCAAAAACAGCAGATAGAAAAGGCCAGCAGAAAAGGATCCTTTCCATTTTGGTTAGAAAATGTGAACATGACCAGACTCAGGCCACTCCATGGTCACTGAACTTTAAAATATATTAAGTTTAATGTGTTGGGTCTTTCTGAAAACAGAAGAAATAAGAGAGCTGCTCCCTTCCCTCAGGATTTTGGCTTTAGTTGGCCTGACCTGGAACTCAATACTACACCATCCTGGCTCAAGAGCAGATCTTAGCTTTAGCCCTTTAAGAGTCAGCTGCAGAGTAAGAAAGACAGTATTTGAGACCCAGGGACATAAGGACACAGGGACAGGGCATTAGAGAAGTCCCTTGGGCTTACATAGTTGCTGGTTTGCCTTTGGAGTCTTACCACTTTTAGATGAATGACCTGGATGACCTCTCTGCATGTTTACTGGGGATCAGCAATTTATTTTTTTTTTTATTTTTTGAGAACTAGTCTTGCTCTGTTGCCCAGGCTGGAGTGCAGTGGCATGATCAGCTCACTGCAACCTCCGCTTCCCAGGTTCAAATGATTCTCCTGCCTTAGCTTCCCAAGTACCTGGGATTACAGGCACGTGCCACCATGCCCAGCTGATTTTTGTATTTTTAGTAAAGACGGAGTTTTGCCATGTTGGCCAGTCTGATCTTGAACTCCCGACCTCGAGTGATCCACTCGCCTCAGCCTCCCAAAGTTTTGGGACTATACACATGAGCCACTGTGCCCAACCAGAGTCGAATTTATTCTAACATCAACTCTGTTACCTTCTCAAGGTAAACCATAATAAATTGCTGGCGGGCATGGTGGCTCACACCTGTAATCCCAGCACTTCGGGAGGCCGAGGCAGGTGGATCACTTGAGGTTAGGAGTTCGAGAGCAGCCTGGTCAACATGGCAAAACCCCCATCTCCACTAAAAATACAAAAATTAGCTGGGCATGTTGGCTCCCAGCTACTAGGGAAGCTGAGGCAGGAGAATCACTTGAACCCAGGAGACGGAGGTTGCAGTGACCCAAGATTGCACCACTGCATTCCAGCCTGGGCGACAGAGTGAGACTCCATCTCAAAAACAAAACAAAACAAAACCAATAAATTACAATCTAAGGTATGAATGAGATTCCTGAGAGATACTGGGCTTAGTACTCAGCCTCCAAATACAGTCCACCAAAACAACCAGGAAAGGCACTAGCCTGCTCTAATGAAGAGATTCATTCCATTCCCTGGAAGACTTACTGGAGCAGAGAATGGGGGTGTTCTACTTAGAAAATACTAATGAACATGTCTAAAATCAAGCTTGTCATCTTTGAACCCAAACTTGCTTCTAATTTATGACTTATTTATGTTGACAAATAGCATCTCCCTTCTTCTAGTCTCCAAGTCGTGAAACTGTGGAACCTTTTCTCTTTCAATCTCTAAATCAAGTCGGTCTCCAAGATCTATCAACCCTGTGTCATCTGGCTCTCTAGGGGCTAACTCTTCTTTTCCTTTCCTTTTGCAATTTAGTTTCACCTTTCATTGCATCATACCTAAATTCATCCTCTCTCAACATTCCTTTCCAGACAGATTTAAGACACAGGTAGGAAATGCTTACTGCCTCTATAGCCTCAAAAAGGACTCAGAATTCTCTGTAATCTGGCTTCTGCCTTCACAATTCACTGAATCTGCTCCCTTGAAGATCACCAACAATAACCTCCTGACTCCTAGATTCAATGCCTTTTTATATGCCACTCTTCCCAACTTCTTTATAGTCCTCGACACTAACTACTTACCATCCCTAGTTCTTCTGCACTCCTGTCCTCCTTCCTTCCTTCCTTTCTTTCCTTTCTCTCTCTTTCTTTCCCTCTCTTTCCTTCTTTTTTCTTTTCTTTCTTTAGACAGAGTCTCACTCTGTTGCCTAGGCTGAAGTACAGTGGCGTGATCTTGGTTCACTGCAACCTCTGCCTCCCAGGTTCAAGTGATTCTCCCGCCTCAGCCTCCCAAATACCTGGGATCAGAGGCACATGCCACCATACCTCCCTAATTTTTTTTTGTATTTTTAGTAGAGATGGGGTTTCTCCATGTTGGCCAGGCTGGTCTTGAACTCCTGACCTCAGGTGATCCACCGGGCTTGGCCTCCCATAGTGTTGGGATTACAGGCATGCACCACTGTGCCCCGCCCCTGCACTCGTATTTCTTCAATGAAACTGTACCTTCTTTCCTNTATGTTTAGTAGAGACAGGGTTTCACCATGTTGGCCAGGCTGGTCTTGAACTCCTGAGCTCAGGTAATCCACGTGGCTTGGCCTCCCATAGTGTTGGGATTACAGGCATGCACCACTGTGCCCCGCCCCTGCACTCGTATTTCTTCAATGAAACTGTACCTTCTTTCCTTGCCTTTCTCATTGCTTCCTTCTTGCCCCTCTTCTTCCCTCTGCATCCTAAATACTGTCCTTAACCTTTTTTCTTCCCTCTATACCCCTCTTGTATGTCAATGTCATCAATCCTTAAGGCTTCAACTAATATCTTATATGATTAATCCCCAAATATATAACTCTAGGTGTATATTTTTTAGTCCTCTATTTCCAAAGGCTTCCTAGGCATCTTCCCAGTTACTCAGACTAGAATCCTTACGATCATCTTTCCTTTCTCCTTATTGGGCCCCACATTCAATCATTCAGTGGTTTTATCTCTCTGTCCAATCACTAATTTGTTTCTCCACTCCACTATTTTGCATGCCCATTACCTAATTCTCAGACCCTATGACTTTCCCATGATCTACTTACTGCCGTAGCCCCCACACTGTTCTCCCTGCCCCCTTCTTTCTCCTTTCCAGCTCATCTTGCTCATTGCTACAAGATTGTTCTTCCTAAATTCTAGCTCTGGTCATGTCATAGCCCTGTCAAAATTTTTCAATATTTTCCACTGCCACCAAAATAAAGTCCAAACTCAAAAACAAAGAATTTAAAAGTCCCCAACCTATCTTTGGCA